TTTTTTGTCACGCTTTTCTGATTCTCTCACTCTTTTTCCGTCACGCACTTCAAATTCTCTCACTCTTTTTTCGTCACGCACTTCAAATTCTCTCACTCTTTTTTTGTCACGCTTTTCTGATTCTCTCACTCTTTTTCCGTCACGCACTTCAAATTCTCTCACTCTTTTTTTGTCACGCTTTTCTGATTCTCTCACTCTTTTTTCGTCACGCACTTCAAATTCTCTCTCTTTTTTTGTCACGCACTTCAAATTCTCTCACTCTTTTTTCGTCACGCACTTCAAATTCTCTCACTCTTTTTTCGTCACGCACTTCAGATTCTCTCACTCTTTTTTAGTCACGCACTTCAAATTCTCTCACTCTTTTTTCGTCACGCACTTCAGATTCTCTCACTCTTTTCTGATTCTCTCACTTTTTTTTCGTCACGCTTTTCTGATTCTCTCACTTTTTTCGTCACGCACTTCAAATTCTCTCACTCTTTTTTCGTCACGCACTTCAGATTCTCTCACTCTTTTTTCGTCACGCTTTTCTGATTCTCTCACTCTTTTTTCGTCACGCACTTCAAATTATCTCACTCTTTTTTTTGTCACACACTTCAAATTCTCACTATTTTTTCGTCACGCACTTCAAATTCTCTCTTTTTTCGTCACACACACTTCAAATTCTCTCTTTTTTCGTCACGCACTTCAGATTCTCTCACTCTTTTTTCGTCATGCTTTTCTGATTCTCTCACTCTTTTTTCGTCACGCACTTCAAATTCTCTCACTCTTTTTTCGTCACGCACTTCAAATTCTCTCACTCTTTTTTTGTCACGCTTTTCTGATTCTCTCACTCTTTTTCCGTCACGCACTTCAAATTCTCTCACTCTTTTTTTGTCACGCTTTTCTGATTCTCTCACTCTTTTTTCGTCACGCACTTCAAATTCTCTCTTTTTTTGTCACGCACTTCAAATTCTCTCACTCTTTTTTCGTCACGCACTTCAAATTCTCTCACTCTTTTTTCGTCACGCACTTCAGATTCTCTCACTCTTTTCTGATTCTCTCACTCTTTTTTCGTCACGCTTTTCTGATTCTCTCACTTTTTTCGTCACGCACTTCAAATTCTCTCACTCTTTTTTCGTCACGCACTTCAGATTCTCTCACTCTTTTTTCGTCACGCTTTTCTGATTCTCTCACTCTTTTTTCGTCACGCACTTCAAATTATCTCACTCTTTTTTTTGTCACACACTTCAAATTCTCACTATTTTTTCGTCACGCACTTCAAATTCTCTCTTTTTTCGTCACACACACTTCAAATTCTCTCTTTTTTCGTCACGCACTTCAGATTCTCTCACTCTTTTTTCGTCATGCTTTTCTGATTATCTCACTCTTTTTTCGTCACGCACTTCAAATTCTCTCACTCTTTTTTCGTCACGCACTTCAGATTCTCTCACTCTTTTCTGATTCTCTCACTCTTTTTTTGTCACGCTTTTCTGATTCTCTCACTCTTTTTTCGTCACGCTTTTCTGATTCTCTCTCTTTTTTCGTCACGCACTTCAAATTCTCTCACTCTTTTTTCGTCACGCACTTCAGATTCTCTCTTTTTTCGTCACGCACTTCAGATTCTCTCACTCTTTTTTCGTCACGCTTTTCTGATTCTCTCACTCTTTTTTCGTTACGCACTTCAAATTCTCTCACTCTTTTCGTCACGCACTTCAAATTCTCTCACTCTTTTTTCGTCACGCACTTCAAATTCTCTCACTCTTTTTTTGTCACGCACTTCAAATTCTCTCTTTTTTCGTCACGCACTTCAGATTATCTCACTCTTTTTTCGTCACGCTTTTCTGATTCTCTCACTCTTTTCGTCACGCACTTCAAATTCTCTCACTCTTTTCGTCACGCACTTCAAATTCTCTCACTCTTTTCGTCACGCACTTCAAATTCTCTCACTCTTTTTTCGTCACGCACTTCAAATTCTCTCACTCTTTTTTCGTCACGCACTTCAAATGCTCTCACTCTTTTTTCGTCACGCTTTTCTGATTCTCTCACTCTTTTTTCGTCACGCACTTCAAATGCTCTCACTCTTTTTTCGTCACGCTTTTCTGATTCTCTCACTCTTTTTTCGTCACGCACTTCAATTTCTCTCACTCTTTTTTCGTCACGCACTTCAGATTCTCTCACTCTTTTTTCGTCACGCTTTTCTGATTCTCTCACTCTTTTTTCGTCACGCACTTCAAATTCTCTCACTCTCTCATATGTATATATCAACAGAGTATCCAAGAACACTCAAGATGAAATGTAAATAGAAGACCAATGCAGCGCCCTGACATATGGACATGCTGTAGGATGAACAGTGTGCAGATGTATTGAGTACCATGTGATGACATACCAGCCAATCACAGATCATTGAACTTGGTTATTTAGTAGGTGATTGATATCAGTAGTTTCACCGCTCTCTAGGATCCACGTGAGGAAGGCCAGGTGTGTATAAAGATAAGAACTCAATAATTAGTCAACAAGAAGGAACATTTCAAAATAATTTATTTCAAAATAAAACCAGAAATCTGTCCCAAAAGAAAAATCTTCACTTTTAAATACTTCATTAGTCATTAATATACCTGTGTAGAGAAAATATATACTTTCTAAATTATAAAAATACCCAGAAGATTCATTACTTTCCCAAAGTGTCCCTTTCACAGTTAATTACACACACACACACACACACACAGTCGCACACACACAGTCGCACACACACAGTCGCACACACACACACACACACACACACACACACACACACACACCCTTAGTGTTAGGGTAGACTTCAGTGTTTCCTCTGACCTTCAGACTGACCTGTTTTTCTGGTGAAAGAATATTTCCATTAAATAAAATAAACTGCTTTCCCTTTTTTTATTTAGTATATATATTTATATCTAATTTTCCCTTTAATTCCTGATTAAAAGTCTGTTTATATATTTTCAGTTGAATTGCCTTTCTTCATATCATGGAGTTATTTCCTTATCTGTGACTGAACTCCCTAATCTGCATGTCTGACGTGTTGTTGATGTCTGACGTGTTGTTGATGTCTGACGTGTTGTTGATGTCTGACGTGTTGTTGATGTCTGACGTGTTGTTGATGTCTGACGTGTTGTTGATGTCTGACGTGTTGTTGATGTCTGACGTGTTGTTGATGTCTGACGTGTTCCTGTCTCTGCTTCGTGTTGTTTGGGAGGATATCTAACTGTATACTGATGTTTCATTGGATCTCCACCCGGAAAGCGCTGATTTCCATTGGTCGCAGGATGAGGAGGCGTGTCTGCTGTTGCCGGGCAGATTGGGGCTCGTCGTCGTGCCGCAGCATGGTGAGGCCAGAGCGGCGCAGCGCGGAGAAGCGGAGCGGAGCGAACACAGCGGCAAGATCCACCTGCAATATATACCAGCTATATTATATATATATATTAAAGAAATACAGATAGAAGCGAAGCGGGCAAAGTTATTTTGTTAAACTTGTGGACGTTTCTCATTTAATAAATATGAATTAAAACACATTTATGGAAGAAAATACAGAATAATATATGTTAAAATTAAATGGAAATCATTGTGTGAGTGTGTGCCTGTGTGTGAGTGTGTGTGTGTGTGTGTGCGCCTGTGTGTGTGTGTGTGTGTGTGTGTGTGTGTGCCTGTGTGTGTGCCTGTGTGTGTGTGTGTGTGTGTGAGTGCGTGTGTGAGTGAGTGTGTTTGTCTGTGAGTGTGTGTGTGAGTGTGAGAGTGAGTGTGTGCATGCGTGTGTGTGTGAGTGTGTGAGTGAGTGTGTGAGTGAGTGTGTTTGTCTGTGTGTGTGAGTGTGTGTGTGTGTGTGTACCTCCTCGTGCGCGCTCCACGTGCACTGTAGCGCCGGCTCGGGGGCGGAGCTACAGTCGAAGCCCTTCCTGTGGAGCAGCAGCGCCACTTCCTGTGACGGAGCTCCTGCTTCCTGTTTATCACAAACAACAAACAGCATTTATTGCTTTGATCTCTAGACGTGTCAGAAAGTCAGAAAGTGAATCCTACGCTTTGTGTATTTATTTTATTTGATAAAAGCCCTTTTTTCATATTTTAAAGTCTTATAGGTTTTGATTTGTTTACATCTGTGTTGTTGTTGTTGTTGTTGTTGTTGTTGTTGTTACCTTTAACTCCAAAGAGCTTAGAATATAAATAAATCTCAAATATATTTAAAGATGTATTTTTTTTTAAATGACATTGACATATTTTTCCAAAGTCATTTTCTCCAGAGGTAAAACATGTGTTATCTGATCAATGAAAAGTTTAAATGTTGGGGGACGTTCATTCTTCCAGAATAAAAGTATACATTTCTTGGCAAAATATGTTATTGTGATTATTATTCTGTCATGTTTTGGGTTCAGTTTAAAGTTTAAATGCAACAGGAACAAACATGGATTTAGGCTCATCTCCATGTCTCTTCTGAGAGAGCGCGAGAGAGTGAGAGCGTGAGAGAGTGAGAGCGAGTGAGAGAGTGAGAGAGTGAGAGAGTGAGAGCGTGAGAGCGTGAGAGCGAGTGAGAGAGTGAGAGAGTGAGAGAGTGAGAGCGAGTGAGAGAGTGAGAGCGTGAGAGCGAGTGAGAGAGTGAGAGAGTGAGAGCGTGAGAGAGTGAGAGCGTGAGAGAGCGTGAGAGAGTGAGAGAGTGAGAGAGTGAGAGCGTGAGAGAGTGAGAGAGTGAGAGAGTGAGAGCGTGAGAGAGTGAGAGAGTGAGAGAGTGAGAGAGTGAGAGCGTGAGAGAGTGAGAGAGTGAGAGAGTGAGAGCGAGAGAGAGTGAGAGAGTGAGAGAGTGAGAGCGTGAGAGAGTGAGAGCGAGAGAGAGTGAGAGAGTGAGAGAGTGAGAGCGTGAGAGAGTGAGAGCGTGGACCGAGTCCCAGAAAGGTTTCAACAGGTCCAGAAACATTTTACATCTCGGACAGTTTGGAGAGTTTTCTTTGGTGAGCATCTTCTGGGTGTGAGGTCACATGTGGTGATAAATGTGAAGTTTGCTTCTTTGATGTTATTGCTTGTGAATAGAAAGTGTGTTCTCAGATATTCAGTAGTCTCATCTATCCGTATCCTAAGTCCTTTCCTAGATCCTTTTTAAAGTTAGAAAGGATGACTGAGCTCTTTACCTTTGATCGTGCTCGATGACATCAACACCTCCTCTTCTAACAACCCCCATCTCAATGTATTGCTTTTAATAATTGATTGATCACGTTCCTGATCTGCAGGTCTCTGAAACCCTTATTTGAAATGTCCTGTTCTTAAATCATGAAATGATGTCATTGTTATATCTTTATGAGACAGGTGCTGCTTTAGACCTGATGTGGTCCCTTTGCTCAGACCAGGAGACCAGGTGCTGCTTTAGACCTGATGTGGTCCCTTTGCTCAGACCAGGAGAGCAGGTGCTGCTTTAGACCTGATGTGGTCCCTCTGTTTGCTCAGACCAGGAGAACAGGTGCTGCTTTAGACCTGATGTGGTCCCTTTGCTCAGACCAGGAGAGCAGGTGCTGCTTTAGACCTGATGTGGTCCCTCTGTTTGCTCAGACCAGGAGAGCAGATGCTGCTTTAGACCTGATGTGGTCCCTTTGCTCAGACCAGATGCTGCTTTAGACCTGATGTGGTCCCTCTGTTTGCTCAGACCAGGAGAACAGATGCTGCTTTAGACCTGATGTGGTCCCTTTGCTCAGACCAGGAGAGCAGGTGCTGCTTTAGACCTGATGTGGTCCCTTTGCTCAGACCAGATGCTGCTTTAGACCTGATGTGGTCCCTCTGTTTGCTCAGACCAGGAGAACAGGTGCTGCTTTAGACCTGATGTGGTCCCTCTGTTTGCTCAGACCAGGAGAGCAGGTGCTGCTTTAGACCTGATGTGGTCCCTCTGTTTGCTCAGACCAGGAGAGCAGGTGCTGCTTTAGACCTGATGTGGTCCCTTTGCTCAGACCAGGAGAGCAGGTGCTGCTTTAGACCTGATGTGGTCCCTTTGCTCAGACCAGATGCTGCTTTAGACCTGATGTGGTCCCTCTGTTTGCTCAGACCAGGAGAACAGGTGCTGCTTTAGACCTGATGTGGTCCCTCTGTTTGCTCAGACCAGGAGAGCAGGTGCTGCTTTAGACCTGATGTGGTCCCTCTGTTTGCTCAGACCAGGAGAGCAGGTGCTGCTTTAGACCTGATGTGGTCCCTTTGCTCAGACCAGGAGAGCAGGTGCTGCTTTAGACCTGATGTGGTCCCTTTGCTCAGACCAGATGCTGCTTTAGACCTGATGTGGTCCCTCTGTTTGCTCAGACCAGGAGAGCAGGTGCTGCTTTAGACCTGATGTGGTCCCTCTGTTTGCTCAGACCAGGAGAGCAGGTGCTGCTTTAGACCTGATGTGGTCCCTCTGTTTGCTCAGACCAGGAGAACAGGTGCTGCTTTAGACCTGATGTGGTCCCTCTGTTTGCTCAGACCAGGAGAGCAGGTGCTGCTTTAGACCTGATGTGGTCCCTCTGTTTGCTCAGACCAGGAGACCAGGTGCTGCTTTAGACCTGATGTGGTCCCTTTGCTCAGACCAGGAGAGCAGGTGCTGCTTTAGACCTGATGTGGTCCCTCTGTTTGCTCAGACCAGGAGAGCAGGTGCTGCTTTAGACCTGATGTGGTCCCTCTGTTTGCTCAGACCAGGAGAGCAGATGGAAACACCAGAGCTACCATGAGCTTCTCTGAACAGTCCCTCCAGGCTGAAAGGGTATTGATCATTTTCTAATCATAAATCTATCGATTAGATTTATGATAGACTTTTGAAACTAGAGGGAAATAAGGAGGACTTTCACAAAGTAGAGACTGTTGTCAGAAGGAGAGCTTCGTCTTCAAGGTGAGACCCCCATGAGCATGGGGTCTCACTAAGAGAGAACAATCCAACATTTAGATTGAGTATCCTTTTGTTGAACCGTCTGTTTCAAATGAATCCAAGCATCAGAATAAAAAAGCTTTTGAAAACAACAGAATATTAGTTTTTATGTGAAAATATAATAAAACCTGAAGAGTCGGAGCCTCACCTTTTGTACAACTTGTTATCAGCTAAAGGGTAACTGGACCTCTTCATGTAAATGTCTCGAAGTGGGAGGAGTTACCAAGTGGGAGGAGTTACCAAGTGGGAGGAGTTACCAAGTGGGAGGAGTTACCACGTGGGAGGAGTTACAACGTGGGAGGAGTTACCAAGTGGGAGGAGTTACCTGCGGGTCCTCCAGCGTGCGCAGGTTCAGCAGGTGAAGGTCACACGGCAGAGAGGAGCGCAGCGGCAGGAAGGGGCGGAGCTTAGGCAACTGGACGTCGCCCGGGGCAACCATGGTGATTGGCGGGTGGGAGAGGGAGAGCGAGGTCAGGTGGGCGAGCAGCGACAGGTATTCAACTGAAGCCCCGCCCACTTCCTGTCCCGGAACAACAGATTCAAAACAAATGAGAACAAATAATAAATAAAACAAACCTGATCAATTAATATAAACAATAAAATATATCACCTGTCCCCCCCCTCACCTGTCCCCCTCTCACCTGCCCCCCCTCTCACCTGCCCCCCTCACCTGTCCCCCTCTCACCTGCCCCCCTCACCTGTCCCCCTCTCACCTGTCCCCCCCTCACCTGCCCCCCTCACCTGTCCCCCTCTCACCTGTCCCCCCTCTCACCTGTCCCCCCCTCTCACCTGTCCCCCCCTCTCACCTGTCCCCCCCTCTCACCTGTCCCCCCCTCTCACCTGTCCCCCCCTCACCTGTCCCCCCTCTCACCTGTCCCCCCTCTCACCTGTCCCCCCCTCTCACCTGTCCCCCTCTCACCTGTCCCCCCTCTCACCTGTCCCCCCTCTCACCTGTCCCCCTCTCTCACCTGTCCCCCCTCTCACCTGTCCCCCCCTCTCACCTGTCCCCCCTCTCACCTGTCCCCCCTCTCACCTGTCCCCCCTCTCACCTGTCCCCCCTCTCACCTGTCCCCCCTCTCACCTGTCCCCCTCTCACCTGTCCCCCCCTCTCACCTGTCCCCCTCTCACCTGTCCCCCCCTCCTCTCCTCCAGCAGCAGGTGGTACAGACTGGATGTCCTCTTGTTGTCCGTCACTCCCTGACCGAGGCCTCTGTTATCGTCCTGCTGCAGCCGCCGGTCCAACACCAGCTCCAGCTCACCTGCAGGGAGACAGGTGAGAGACAGGTGAGAGACAGGTGAGAGACAGGTGAGAGACAGAGGAGAGACAGGTGAGAGACAGAGGAGAGACAGGTGAGAGACAGGTGAGAGACAGGTGAGAGACAGGTGAGAGACAGGTGAGAGACAGAGGAGAGACAGGTGAGAGACAGGTGAGAGACAGGTGAGGGACAGGTGAGAGACAGGTGAGAGACAGGTGAGAGACAGGTGAGAGACAGGTGAGAGACAGGTGAGAGACAGGTGAGAGACAGGTGAGGACAGGTGAGGACAGGTGAGGACAGGTGAGAGACAGGTGAGAGACAGAGGAGAGACAGGTGAGAGACAGGTGAGAGACAGGTGAGGGACAGGTGAGAGACAGGTGAGAGACAGGTGAGAGACAGGTGAGGGACAGAGGAGAGACAGGTGAGAGACAGGTGAGAGACAGGTGAGAGACAGGTGAGGGACAGGTGAGAGACAGGTGAGAGACAGGTGAGAGACAGGTGAGAGACAGGTGAGAGACAGGTGAGGGACAGAGGAGAGACAGGTGAGAGACAGGTGAGAGACAGGTGAGAGACAGGTGAGAGACAGGTGAGGGACAGGTGAGAGACAGGTGAGGGACAGGTGAGAGACAGGTGAGAGACAGGTGAGAGACAGGTGAGAGACAGGTGAGGGACAGGTGAGAGACAGGTGAGAGACAGGTGAGAGACAGGTGAGAGACAGGTGAGAGACAGGTGAGAGACAGGTGAGAGACAGGTGAGAGTGTAAGAAAGAGGTACAATGGGAGAATTTTAGACGTCAGAATCAGATTAGACGTCCCCTGACTCACCTGGTTTGAGGGATGCGACCCCCTGACTCACCTGGTTTGAGGGATGCGACCCCTGACTCACCTGGTTTGAGGGATGCGACCCCCTGACTCACCTGGTTTGAGGGATGCGACCCCCTGACTCACCTGGTTTGAGGGATGCGACCCCCTGACTCACCTGGTTTGAGGGATGCGACCCCCTGACTCTGGGCCGACAGGACGGTGATTCGGGTCTCGGCGTCCTGCAGAAACGCTGCTGAGGTCATCGGGTAGAAGTTAGCCTGCAGCGGGAGTTTAGAGAGGGTCCGACGCTGCTGCATCTAAACAACAACAACAACAACAACAACAACACAGTTTAAATTGTTTCTAAACACTTTGAACACACCTCTGATTAATGAACAGATGAATTAAGAGGACTGAACGCACTTCACAGGAAGTGTCAGTACACGACAGCTTTGACTTTCAAAATAAAAGCATTGAACCTGGAAGCTGTTGAGGTCGCTATGGAAATGGTTGCCGCTGGCGACGTCGGTGACGATCCGCATCACGAGCTCGCGGTTCACCTGAGACCGGATGTCCACCATGTTGGAAATCTCCAGGGATCTCCCAGCATGCCCTGGGGCGGCGCACACGGGAGACTTTTATTTTGAAATCATTTTTTAAATGAAATGAAGTTGACACACATGAGGTCAAATATCTATCTCAAATAAGAAATAAAACATTGAGGAGTTCATTATTTATTATGTCTGCAGATTTCTGAATAAAATCAGCAACAAATGTTTCAGACTTTTTCCTGATCAAATAATAAGAACTGTTTGATCTGGATGTTCTGCAGCGTCTACCTGTTCAGAGCTCACTCAGTAATCATTCAGCTGAACACCAGGAGTTCAACACTTAATCCCTATCTGATCGGATCAGAACCAAACAACAGGATCAGGATCACTTTGATACCGATCAGATCTTCAAATCGGGTAGTTCGACCCGACAACAGGATTGGGATCAGCTTGATCCCAAAAAGATGGATTACCCTGATCCCACCAGAGGGGTGGGTCTCCAGTGGATTACCCTGATCCCACCAGAGGGGTGGGTCTCCAGTGGATTACCAGAGCAAAATGTGCTGTACAATTTATTTAAAAATATGTTTCAATTTAAATAAGATGGCAAAGTTTGTTAAAGGTAAGTTTGAGAAACCGGCTCGAGATACACTTGTTGTTATATTCCATGGAATGCTCTTAACATCCCGATAGCAATGAATATCTGAAGTGCTTTGACAACAAATCCATAAACAAATATCATCTGTGGAAGCCGTGGTACTGTAAACAGCACGACCAATCATCTGAGCCGGCCCGGCTAAAATAACTGGATGGCCTACCTGCCTGTCAGCCTTCCATCTGTGCACAAACTTATCTGGTGCCCTCATTGGTCATGTGCGCGTTCGTGTGTGTTGGAGGAGGGGCTCTGTGAGGAAGTGGCAGATTTTCTCCGGCTGTGTATTTTCAGATTCTAGCGATCTCAAGCTGGTTTCTCAAACTTACCTACCCCACCTTTAAGTGAAATAATACACCATGTTTAGCCTTCATGGGAAATACATTTGATTTTTCATTTTTGCTCACGTTTGTGGTCTATTTTGTTTTCAAATGTTGATGACATAAATGTTTATGCTCATAAAAGTATCACAACAAAGATTGTCAATCACAAATGTAATTTAGATTAAAAGTAAAAATATCTTCAACAAAAAAACAGTCCATCTGTCGTCACCTTTCAAGAGTAACTAGATGTCTGCAATGTGGTCTCTTGTCTTCCCTGTAGTATCTCTCATGTCCACTAGAGGGCGATCGGTCGGATTAAAGCACTTTGACTTTATTCAGGATCTAGTCATCTTGAAAGTCTGGATCTGGATCAGGGGGATCCTGAACTGCTTTGAACTACAGGGACAAAGTCTGGATCTGGATCAGAGGGATCCTCTCCTGAACTGCTTTGAACTACTGGGACAAAGTCTGGATCTGGATCAGAGGGATCCTCTCCTGAACTGCTTTGAACTACAGGGACAAAGTCTGAATCTGGATCAGGGGGATCCTGAACTGCTTTGAACTACAGGGACAAAGTCTGAATCTGGATCAGGGGGATCCTGAACTGCTTTGAACTACAGGGACAAAGTCTGGATCTGGATCAGAGAGATCCTGAACTGCTTTGAACTACTGGGACAAAGTCTGGATCTGGATCAGAGGGATCCTCTCCTGAACTGCTTTGAACTACAGGGACAAAGTCTGGATCTGGATCAGAGGGATCCTGAACTGCTTTGAACTACAGGGACAAAGTCTGGATCTGGATCAGAGGGATCCTCTCCTGAACTGCTTTGAACTACAGGGACAAAGTCTGAATCTGGATCAGGGGGATCCTGAACTGCTTTGAACTACAGGGACAAAGTCTGGATCTGGATCAGAGAGATCCTGAACTGCTTTGAACTACTGGGACAAAGTCTGGATCTGGATCAGAGGGATCCTCTCCTGAACTGCTTTGAACTACAGGGACAAAGTCTGGATCTGGATCAGAGGGATCCTGAACTGCTTTGAACTACAGGGACAAAGTCTGGATCTGGATCAGAGGGATCCTCTCCTGAACTGCTTTGAACTACAGGGACAAAGTCTGAATCTGGATCAGGGGGATCCTGAACTGCTTTGAACTACAGGGACAAAGTCTGGATCTGGATCAGAGAGATCCTGAACTGCTTTGAACTACTGGGACAAAGTCTGGATCTGGATCAGAGGGATCCTCTCCTGAACTGCTTTGAACTACAGGGACAAAGTCTGGATCTGGATCAGAGGGATCCTCTCCTGAACTGCTTTGAACTACAGGGACAAAGTCTGAATCTGGATCAGGGGGATCCTGAACTGCTTTGAACTACAGGGACAAAGTCTGGATCTGGATCAGAGAGATCCTGAACTGCTTTGAACTACTGGGACAAAGTCTGGATCTGGATCAGAGGGATCCTCTCCTGAACTGCTTTGAACTACTGGGACAAAGTCTGGATCTGGATCAGAGGGATCCTCTCCTGAACTGCTTTGAACTACAGGGACAAAGTCTGGATCTGGATCAGAGGGATCCTGAACTGCTTTGAACTACTGGGACAAAGTCTGGATCTGGATCAGAGGGATCCTGAACTGCTTTGAACTACAGGGACAAAGTCTGGATCTGGATCAGAGGGATCCTGAACTGCTTTGAACTACAGGGACAAAGTCTGGATCTGGATCAGAGGGATCCTGAACTGCTTTGAACTACAGGGACAAAGTCTGGATCTGGATCAGAGGGATCCTGAACTGCTTTGAACTACAGGGACAAAGTCTGGATCTGGATCAGAGGGATCCTGAACTGCTTTGAACTACAGGGACAAAGTCTGGATCTGGATCAGAGGGATCCACTCCTGAACTGCTTTGAACTACTGGGACAAAGTCTGGATCTGGATCAGAGGGATCCTGAACTGCTTTGAACTACTGGGACAAAGTCTGGATCTGGATCAGAGGGATCCTGAACTGCTTTGAACTACAGGGACAAAGTCTGGATCTGGATCAGAGGGATCCTGAACTGCTTTGAACTACTGGGACAAAGTCTGGCCGACTTTCTGATCCTGGATCACAAAAAATGGGATTTCAAAATCTGATCGGATCTGATTGAGATTAAACGTTTTGAACTCCTGGGCCCTGAAGATCAGCTGTTCTCAGGTGGGACCCTGCCCTCTGATTGGCTGCTGGGATCATGTGATTTCAGAGAAACAGCTGTACTTTACCTGCAGGTGACCTGACCCTGAGCACAATAGGCCCCTTTAAACACGACCTGTCAGTACCCTGAATATAAAGAGTAATATAGAGCGTTACCTTCCAGGTGGTACAGCCTCACGGTGTGGGTCACGTGAGGCAGACAGGAAGTGATGTCAGAGTACAGCGGTCCTCTTGAGACCCGGACCAGGGGCGGTTCTGAAAAGGAGTACACCTGAGGGGGGAGGGGGGGGGGGGGGGAGTCAGTTAACCTGTACACCTGGTTCTGGTTCTAACCCTGCTTCTAACCCTGGTTATGATTCTAACCCTGGTTCTGACCCTGGTTCTGGTTCTAACCCTGCTTCTAACCCTGGTTCTGGTTCTAACCCTGGTTCTGACCCTGGTTCTGGTTCTAACACTGCTTCTAACCCTGGTTCTGGTTCTAACCCTGGTTCTGACCCTGGTTCTGGTTGTAACCCTGCTTCTAACCCTGGTTCTGGTTCTAACCCTGGTTCTGGTTCTAACCCTGGTTCTGACCCTGGTTCTAACTCTGCTTCTAACCCTGGTTCTGGTTCTAACCCTGGTTCTGGTTCTAACCCTGGTTCTAACCCTGGTTCTGACCCTGGTTCTTACCCTAACCCTCTTCTGATTCTGACCCTCTTCAGGTTCTGGTTCTCCTCACCTGGGCCCCCTCCTCTCCCGGCAGGAACAGGTACGCTCCGCTCTTGTCCCGGTTGGCTCCGGTTCTGGTTCCGTACCACAGGAAGTGGACCTGGACCCGGCGCTCAGAGCCCTCGCGCAGACGCAGCTTCTGCACCGCAACAAACATACAGATAGAAATAATGATGATGATGATGACGATGATGATGATGATGATGATGATGATGATGATGATGATGATGATGATGAAACATAAAACAACGTAAAACACAAATATGATGTCTTCCCTATAGAGCGGTGCAGGGAGGACAGGAAGCTGCTGTTCCCACGACAACAACAAGCAACAGGATTTCTCCAGAGGATTTAGAAATATTGTAAAAAATAATGTTTGTGGAAAGGAACCTGTTTGATAAATGTTTAGTTCAGCCGGATCATCTCCACACGTCTACCCTACTTTTATAATGTTCTAATCATAAATCTAAAGTCCAGAAGCTAAATGCTAACGTGATGCTACAAAGGAAGTACAGGCGAGTCCAGCAGCACGACTTCAACGTCACGCCAACTTCAGATCCATATTCAAACACACAGATTCTAAATGGAACGAGTTGAAGCGTTTGTTTGAACAGTCTGCAGGAGGCAGGGACTTGCTTTCAAGCTGAACAGAAACAAACTTAGAGGAGTGTTTACGTGTTCGGCGTAATGACGTACAACGTCCTCCACGACTTCTGTAGTCCTATTCAGCCACTTGGTAACAACCATCGTTTTTCAGACACGTCAACTCTTCAGAAATCACCAGTGGGGTCACTGCTGATGGATTTAATGTCCTAGAACAAAACGTGACCCGTCTCTTCAATGTGTCTCAACCACAGACCTTAGTTCAGATATCTTTCTAAATCCTATGGAGAGATCCCATTGGCTCTGAGACCAGGGAACAGGAAGTGAAGAAATGCTGACTCACTTCCTTCAGGACTCATTCCTGCACCACTCTGAAGATCAGTTTTTGGATCATCAGATGAATTTGAACAAAGGATGAAATAAAACATGTCTCTGATTAAATATCTGAGAGGCTTTTATTTTGAAAATCCGACCTGCATCAGGCCTGTTTCCGGGGAGCTCCATATTTGGACGTGCTTGTTGCTAAGCGACAGGGAGGCGTCGGCCTCGGGGCCCTGGGGGTGGGACATCTGGAAGTGCTCGCTGTGAATGGTCGGAGGGTTCCCGCGGCGATGGAAGGTGTATCGAGCCCGGGGGGCGGAGCCAGAAGAGGATCGGGTCACATGGTACACGACCAATGAGAGAGGAGGGAGTTCAGACAGGAAGTCCAGCTGCAGGAACACACATTATATATTTATATTAACTTATTAATATCTATCATCAGGTCAATAATATAATAATAATAATATTAATGATATGGTTGTGTCACCTGAAAGCTGTCTGTGGACGCCCGGCTTGGCTCCGCCCACACCGCAGAGATCTGCGCAGCCATTGGTCGACCAGTTTCTGCATCGATGACTCGAGCGTCCGGAGAGTCGATGACGACGCTAACAACGGACGATCGGATCTGCTCCGTCGGGTTATAGACGATCAATATCCTGTAGAAGAGACAGGAGTAAATAAACACCTTTAGTAAACAACAACACACCTGAAAATATTAAACTACATAGCATTAGTTAGCTTAGCATAACAACATATGTACACGGCAACTGAAGATTTATCTTTAACGTTTCAAATGTAATAATTATCAGACGTTGTTATTTATTAATGAAACAGGAAATAAAAAATTATCAAATACAAAAACTATTTGTATTTATTAGTAAAATAAGTACTATTGGTATAATTGGAAATTAAAAGATTCATTAAAATAATAATTATCAATAAAGAGACTCAAAATGACTTTCGTCAATTCAATAATTTAAACAAACATTTTTCTATTATTGAAATAATAACAGTTACTGCCTCTATATAAGCCCCGCCCCTCTCCATATGCCCCACCCTCTTGGTAAGTATGCCCCTCCTCCTCCCGTTAAGCCCCTCCCCTCTCCATATGCCCCACCCGCTTGGTACGTATGCCCATCCCCCTCCCGTTATGCCCCTCTCCCTCTCTCAAGCCCCTCCCCCTCTCTTAAGCCCCCCTCTCTTAAGCCCCACCCCTCACCTGGGCTCCTCGCTCAGCGTTATCTTGGTCTTCTGCGGCAGGGCGTCCTGCGCCGACATCACGTCGTCCTGAAACACAACATTTACCTATCATGCAAAATGCACTTGTGCACGTCTTTTCTACATGAATATGTGTCCCCGGTGTTCCAGGGAACTCACCAAGTGTCAGAAAACACAACCCTCTCTATTTTCCTCCATACCCAAATCTCTAAAAAAGGGGCTGCAACGGATCTGATAAAAACTGATCCAGATTTGAACACTGTCCTGACGTCAGGACGGTGGCGCTACGGCTATTGGGCCAACTCCACCAATCAGGAGGAGACAGCCACGGACATTGCCGTTCGAAAGCGCTGGAGACGCTGTAGTACATATGCCAGGCCTGTAGGTGGTGCTGTTCTCACTGAATCAGCCCTTGCTAAAACAGAGCTAAAAAATGTCAAATTGAGCGAATGAGGCATGGCTAAAATGCATGATCTGTTTGGTATTTTATAAATATGCCTTATATAGGTATGGTCCTACACTATATTATTATAATATAGCATGATAGCTCCACTTTAATTATTTTATCCTATTTAATTTTCAGTATCAAAAGCTCAAAGCTCACCGTGAGCAGGAAGGGCTTTGATTGGTCGTGGTGGTACTGGCTCTTGTCCAATAGGAGCAGCCAGTGGGCGGAGCTCTCCAGAACCTTCCGGAGCTTCTGGATGGACTCCAACAATCTGCCCGGCAACAACACATCATTTCATCATTCTCTGTTTTAGTTCATATTTACTTTCTTTCTACTGACTTTAGATTTTCTTATTAATGAAAATATTCTGTTTCTCATTAAAACTCTTTTTACTGAAAATGTTTAAAGTGTAAAGTCAGTGTTTCTCTGTTATTAGTCTGATCTACCAAGGGTTATTGTGATGTAAACAAACATGAAGGGTTATTGTGATGTAAACAAACATGAAGGGTTATTGTGATGTAAACAAACATGAAGGGTTATTGTGATGTAAACAAACATGAAGGGTTATTGTGATGTAAACAAACATGAAGGGTTATTGTGATGTAAACAAACATGAACACTACGAAGGGTTATTGTATCTTAAATATTCACTTAATTGATTAGCACATGTTTGGGATGATTATATATTCTAAAACTAACGGAGGAATTTTAACACAGACACAACGTTAATGGAAGCTAATGTTAGATGCTAATGCTAAATGAATGGGTATGAGGGGAGGCTAATGTTAGATGCTAATGCTAAATGAATGGGTATGAGGGGAGGCTAATGTTAGATGCTAATGCTAAATGAATGGGTATGAGGGGAGGCTAATGTTAGATGCTAATGCTAAATGAATGGGTATGAGGGGAGGCTAATGTTAGATGCTAATGCTAAATGAATGGGTATGAGGGGAGGCTAATGTTAAATGCTAATGATAAATGAATGGGTATGATGCTAATGCTAACAGTCAGCGAGGCGGTTACCGTTGTCAGCGCGACGTCGTCCTTCAACGGAAAGCATGGAGGGACAAATGAGACAAAACACATGCTAATGCTAAAGATGCTAAAGAGCTCCAGAGTCACAAAGTTCTGATAATTTACCCCGAATTAAAACCGTCCAAAATATAAAATAATGTAAACGTTTGTTACGTAAAGACAGTCATTGATTTTCTTCATGTTATTCACAACCAATAAACAAGGAGCAGCTAAAGCTAACATGCTAACACGAAGTCTGCACTGGGAAACCTTTAACTGAACATGCTAACGTCCGTGTACCTCAGGGATCACCAACTACATTTTGTATCAAAATGTATCCAATAGACACTATCGCGGGCCAGCGATTTTTATATAGCCCAGAATTTTGAAGTTGTTGACGGGGGGGGGGGGGGGGGGTTATGTTTTTCCATAACAGATGGGTATGTTTTGGTGAACAGGAGACACTTATTTTACTGTTTTCATGGCTTATCAAGAACTCAAACACAACATCTTGGTGTCATTCTGGACAGCTCCCTCTCATCTGCACCCCACATCAAAAACATCACCCGGGCTGCATTCTTTGTACTGTCTTAAACCTTTCCTTAGAATATGTTATGAATTGTCAGGTGTCCTTGGGTGCTTTGATAGGCGCCCCTAAATAGAATGAATTATCATTATTATTTATTATCTGAAACGATGTAATAACTTTTAAAACTGTTTCCAGTCACTTGCCCCATGCATTCAGCAGCAGCAGGCCATTCACTTTGATTTGATCCCGTTATGAAATGCTACATAAACGTTATCTTGCACATTTCATCTAACCATCTCCGTTTCTAACTTTCAATATATTTTAAAAGAGATCTCTCTCTGATCTGCGTGCGGGGGCGGGGCTTCAGACACGCTGCATCTCTCTCTCGCTCACAGACATGCTGCAGCGCTGTGCAGTGTGCACACAGTTCTGCTGGTAATGACTATTACATTTTATGAGGAAACTTTTCCACCAATAATTCCAATAAGTAATCCAAAATGTATTCACTTCAGGTTTACGAAAGTAACTGTAATCAGATTACTCGTTTTTCAAATGTAACGCCAGCTGAGTACAGTTAGCCTACTTGATTTTTGTATTCTGATTACGTAACGCTGTTACATGTATTCCGTTACAACCCAACCCTGCTTCTAGGCTACTGTCCCGCAGCTCCTGCCTCTCTGTTGGACTCAGTCGCAGCGGGGCTACTGCTGTGGTGCGGAGCGCACAAAGCAGACTCTTCACAACGAAGGATCACTTCTTCTTCAAGGCAGGGAAGGTTTCGCAGTACGCAGTCTACTGTCCCGCAGCTGCTGCCTCTCTGTTGGACTCCGGTACTGCACATTACTCACGAGACGTTGTAAAAAAAAAATAGGTGGGGGGCGAACGCACTAACCACTCCGCCAACGCCACAGTCACCCCCGTCGTGCGGGCTGGATGAGAATGTCTGGCGGGCCGGATGTGGCCCGCGGGCCGTCAGTTGGTGGTCACTGGTGTACATGGTTGCTACCTGGAGACACGTTTAACTGAACATGCTAACGTCCGTGTACCTGGTTGCTACCTGGAGACACGTTTAACTGAACATGCTAACGTCCGTGTACCTGGTTGCTACCTGGAGACACGTTTAACTGAACATGCTAACGTCCGTGTACCTGGTTGCTACCTGGAGACACGTTTAACTGAACATGCTAACGTCCGTGTACCTGGTTGCTACCTGGAGACACGTTTAACTGAACATGCTAACGTCCGTGTACCTGGTTGCTACCTGGAGACACGTTTAACTGAACATGCTAACGTCCGTGTACCTGGTTGCTACCTGGAGACACGTTTAACTGAACATGCTAACGTCCGTGTACCTGGTTGCTACCTGGAGACACGTTTAACTGAACATGCTAACGTCCGTGTACCTGGTTGCTACCTGGAGACACGTTTAATACCAGAGACAAAGAAGAGAGATTAGCGTAGCACCAGCGTAGCATAGTTGGTAAAGTATTGAAAGCATGTCTGTATTAATATAGAGTGGCGAAGTCACGCCCATCTACTTCCGCTCCATGGGACCTTATTTCGGAAAAATTATGCATTGAAGTCAATGGAGAGAGAAAACTTATCTTTCGATCCCGTTTGAATTGTGCCATGAATTACACATATGATGTTTGTCAATCTTAAAAAATCATTTCCATGTCAAAAAAGTCACAGTTTGTCGTAAAACTGTTGAAATATAAGACTATGAAAAATACGTAACTAGAAAGACTACAAATCCCAGAGTCGCGTAAGTGATGTCACAATTGTTTTCCTCCACTAAGAGATAGCTACGATCAGCGCCATATAGATATAATCTCTCTATATGGCGCTGGCTAAGATAAGATAACTTTAACAAGATGCCTGTGTGCTTAGTACCAGGTTGTTATCATACCAGCAATGGGTCTTGCTCGTTCTTTTGCTTCCCGTCTGATGAAAGGACCAGGAGTGGCTTGATCAAGTTAGCTACCTAGCTAGTAGCTAGCACGTTAGTTAGCATTACAGCCTTGTCATTTTTATTAGCCTTAACATGAAGTAACATTAAGTAACCCAAAATGTTAAACAGTAAGAGTAGTAGTCATATTTCGTGAACCCTTTGAAGAGTACTGTCACCGGTGTGATCATTCTATAATACACCATTTAATTCCGGGGGAGAAATGCTAACGCTAACGTTAGCCTCGGCGATCTTTTCTACTTCATGCTATCTGCACAAATGGTTGACATTAAACATTAAAACGACCAGGCAGTTCAGAGAGAATCAAAGGAAGGCAGGCAGGCAGCTTTGCATGACTTTCTTCAGGACGTGTTTCATTGTGGTGATAGTGAGGGTAGTCAATCGTTGTGTTGACAAGACAGTAGTGACGGCCATCTTGGTGACGTGTGAGACCAGAGATGTAGTTCATTGAGCGTTTCACACAAACAAATGTGTTACTTCACAGTTTTACGACACATTTTTTTTTTTTTGACTTGCAAAATTATCTTTTAAATTGACAAACATCATATGTGTAATTCGTGGCACAATTCAAACGGGATCGAAAGATAATCTTTCTCTCTCCATTGACTTCAATGCATAACTTTTCCGAAATAAGGTCCCATGGGGCTCAACCGGAAGGGGAGGGACTTCGCCACTCTATTGGTTTATATATATGTATGTATTGTTTGTGGGGGGCTTAATGCAGTAGTGCCAGTGTGAGAATCAACAAAGAAGAAATAATCTACCAAACACACCTGTCCTTACTTTTTGTGCTAACATATTCCCCATGCTAAAAGGAAGTAGCACCTGTTTCCGTAGTCCATGACGACGGGGTCTCTGGCGGTGCCGGTGACAGCGTCGTGATGCTGGAACAGCGCTAAGCCCCGCCTCCCAGCCGTCAGAAGCAGGAAGTGATCCCGCGCCGGGAACCCTGTCGCCAGGCGACCGTCGCCATGGGAACGCATCGCAGCCAGAGTCAGGCTGTACAGGATCTCCGTCGCTCTGTCGGAGGAAATAGTAATACAAATATTGTGTGTTACATTTTTTATAAAAATATCATAATGAAAGATATAATTATAAACAAATAAATAATAAAATAATAAAACGTTTTTAAAAATCATAAAAATATCACAATAAAATCTATAAATATTAACATATAATTAGTTATTTGAACACATGTTTGATGATATCTCCTCACTGTAGCGTGGCCTGCAGCGTGCGGTCAGGAGATATCTTTGAACACATGTCTGATGCTACAGCCTCAGACTCACCGTAGCGTGGCCTCCAGCGTGCGGTCCAGCCTCTTGTAGAACGGTCTGGACGTGAAGTATCCGCTCCAGTAGTGGTCGTCTCGGTCGGCGTACGTGAAGAAGTCTCCGCGGACCGTCGGCAGAGACGAGACCGGTAACACCTTCTGGAGAGCCTGGAAGTAATCTGAGAGAGTCCCAAAACGAGCCTGGAGACACAGAGACCGACAGAGAGACAAAGAGAGACATTTAGAGACAAAGAGAGACATTTAGAGACATTTAGAGACAAAGAGAGACATTTAGAGACAAAGAGAGACAAAGAGAGACAAAGAGAGACATTTAGAGACAAAGAGAGACATTTAGAGACAAAGAGAGACAAAGAGAGACAAAGAGAGACAAAGGACAAAGAGAGAGACAAAGAGAGCAAAGAGAGACAAGAAGACTTTGAGACAAAGAGAGACATTTAGAGACATTTAGAGACAAAGAGAGACAAAGAGAGACATTTAGAGACAAAGAGAGACAAAGAGAGACAAAGAGAGACATTTAGAGACAAAGAGAGACAAAGAGAGACAAAGAGAGACAAAGAGAGACAAAGAGAGACATTTAGAGACAAAGAGAGACAAAGAGAGACAAAGACAGACAAAGAGAGACAAAGAGAGACAAAGAGAGACAAAGAGAGACATTTAGAGACAAAGAGAGACATTTAGAGACAAAGAGAGACATTTAGAGACAAAGAGAGACAAAGAGAGACATTTAGAGACAAAGAGAGACAAAGAGAGACAAAGAGACATTTAGAGACAAAGAGAGACAAAGAGAGACAAAGACAGACAAAGAGAGACAAAGAGAGACAAAGAGAGACAAAGAGAGACATTTAGAGACAAAGAGAGACAAAGAGAGACAAAGAGAGACATTTAGAGACAAAGAGAGACATTTAGAGACAAAGAGAGACAAAGAGAGACAAAGAGAGACAAAGAGAGACAAAGAGAGACAAAGACAGACAAAGAGAGACATTTAGAGACAAAGAGAGACATTTAGAGACATTTAGAGACATTTAGAGACAAAGAGAGACAAAGAGAGACATTTAGAGACAAAGAGAGACAAAGAGAGACAAAGAGAGACATTTAGAGACATTTAGAGACAAAGAGAGACAAAGAGAGACAAAGAGAGACATTTAGAGACAAAGAGAGACATTTAGAGACATTTAGAGACAAAGAGAGACAAAGAGAGACAAAGACAGACATTTAGAGACAAAGAGAGACATTTAGAGACATTTAGAGACAAAGAGAGACAAAGAGAGACATTTAGAGACATTTAGAGACAAAGAGAGACAAAGAGAGACAAAGAGAGACAAAGAGAGACATTTAGAGACATTTAGAGACAAAGAGAGACAAAGAGAGACAAAGAGAGACAAAGACAGACAAAGAGAGACAAAGAGAGACATTTAGAGACAAAGAGAGACATTTAGAGACAAAGAGAGACAAAGAGAGACAAAGAGAGACATTTAGAGACAAAGAGAGACATTTAGAGACAAAGAGAGACAAAGAGAGACAAAGAGAGACATTTAGAGACAAAGAGAGACATTTAGAGACAAAGAGAGACAAAGAGAGACAAAGAGAGACAAAGAGAGACATTTAGAGACAAAGAGAGACAAAGAGAGACAAAGAGAGACAAAGAGAGACATTTAGAGACATTTAGAGACAAAGAGAGACAAAGAGAGACATTTAGAGACATTTAGAGACAAAGAGAGACAAAGAGAGACATTTAGAGACAAAGAGAGACAAAGAGAGACAAAGAGAGACAAAGAGAGACAAAGAGAGACATTTAGAGACAAAGAGAGACAAAGAGAGACATTTAGAGACAAAGAGAGACAAAGAGAGACAAAGAGACAAAGAGAGACATTTAGAGACATTTAGAGACAAAGAGAGACAAAGAGAGACATTTAGAGACAAAGAGAGAAAAAGAGACAAAGAGAGACAAAGAGAGACATTTAGAGACAAAGAGAGACAAAGACAGACATTTAGAGACAAAGAGAGACAAAGAGAGACATTTAGAGACAAAGAGAGACAAAGAGAGACAAAGAGAGACATTTAGAGACAAAGAGAGACAAAGACAGACATTTAGAGACAAAGAGAGACAAAGAGAGACATTTAGAGACAAAGAGAGACAAAGACAGACATTTAGAGACAAAGAGAGACAAAGAGAGACATTTAGAGACAAAGAGAGACATTTAGAGACAAAGAGAGACATTTAGAGACAAAGAGAGACAAAGAGAGACATTTAGAGACAAAGAGAGACATTTAGAGACAAAGAGAGACATTTAGAGACAAAGAGAGACAAAGAGAGACATTTAGAGACAAAGAGAGACATTTAGAGACAAAGAGAGACAAAGAGAGACATTTAGAGACAAAGAGAGACATTTAGAGACAAAGAGAGACAAGAGAGA